GAAGCTGGGAAGTAGTGGAGTACAAATACTTCGTTACTGTACTTAAGTGCATGTTTCTGGTATCAGTACTTTACTCCACTATTTATTTTTCTGGCCACTTTTTACTTTCTACTTCTTACATTTTGAACCCAAATACCTGTACTTTCTACTTCTTACATTTTGAACACAAATACCTGTACTTTCTACTTCTTACATTGTGAACACAAATACCTGTACTTTCTACTTCTTACATGTTGAACCCAAATACCTGTACTTTCTACTTCTTACATTTTGAACTCAAACACCTGTACTTTCTACTTCTTACATTTTGAACACAAATACCTGTACTTTCTACTTCTTACATTGTGAACACAAATACCTGTACTTTCTACTTCTTACATGTTGAACCCAAATACCTGTACTTTCTACTTCTTACATTTTGAACTCAAACACCTGTACTTTCTACTTCTTACATTTTGAACACAAATACCTGTACTTTCTACTTCTTACATTTTGAACACAAACACCTGTACTTTCTACTTCTTACATGTTGAACCCAAATACCTGTACTTTCTACTTCTAACATGTTGAACACAAATACCTGTACTTTCTACTTCTTACATGTTGAACACAAATACCTGTACTTTCTACTTCTTACATGTTGAACACAAATACCTGTACTTTCTACTTCTTCCATTTCCCAAACAGGCTGGTTCCTTTAGTTTGAATGTGTGTTTGGTGGCGTGATCATTATTATTTAGAGTCATTGCGTGCCTATTGATTTGAACACGATCCGTGTATCCATCATTTCCTGGTCTTCTCTAAAGAAGAGGGACCAATGAAAACGTTGTCATGTTGCCGTTGTTCAGCATGGAAACATTCATTAGCTAACAATGACATTATTGTTCTATTAATATAAAGGGAGGTCAGGTACTCTTTAAAACAGATGGTAGTTATGGGTACTTTTTACTGAAGTACATTTCAAAGCCCTCTTTACTTTTACTTGAGTAAAGAAGTTTAGTCAGTACTTCTACTTTTACCAGAGTATTTTTAAACACGACGAGTATCTGTACTTCTACTTGAGTAAAGGATGTGTGTACTTTTGCCATCTCTGGAAATAAAGGGGAACATGGGAAGTATGAGCAAAGAAGAATCAAACTGAAGATGTTATTTGCACCCTGATGGTGGCCTCGCTGTGGTTGGTGCAGCTGAGCGTCACATGGTCACATGGTCCCCCCCCCCCCCTCCACACCATGAAAGGAGTGCAGCATCACCCTGAGGCTCTGTCTGCTCCAATCAAAAGGCTCACAGATTAAAGCAGTTTTTTGAGAACTTAAGAGCATGACCGAGGCGACACACAATTATAGATGAAAGTACAAGCTGGCTTCTTCTTGGAGACGTTAAAATACTTCTGAGACACGTCTTTACTTCAACCCTGGTACACAGCCTACGTCATCATTTCTTCCTTTGAAATCAGTCATCGTCAGACTGCTTTATTTATACCGGGAGACATGGGGTTTATGGACAGTTGCTCCATTGTGAATTTAAAAAAAGGATAAATACAAATAATAATATTTATATAAATGTAAGTAAAGTAAGAGTGTGAAAAAAGGTTAAAATCAATAATGAAAAAAGGTATTTATATAAAACAAGAAGTTAAAGAATGTCTTATAAAATATTAAAGGGGACCTATCATGCAAAATACACTTTTTGATGTCTTTTATACATAAATATGTGTCCCCGGTGTGTCAGGGAACTCACGCAGTGTCAGAAACAATGCCTGACGTGTTTTGGACGTAATCTCGTCTTTGTTTACATTAGCAAGCCTCGCTAACACTCAGAGCTAACCTGTACTGGAGAGCACATGTGTTTAAAAAGCAGGAAATAAAAAAAAGAACTCACCTTGTGGTAAACCTGCAAGAGAAAAATAATTTGAGCTCCATACTGTTTCAGAAATAATCCTTGATGTGGTGAGTTCCTTTTTTTATTTCCTGCTTTTTAAACACATGTGCTCTCCAGTACAGGTTAGCTCTGAGTGTTAGCGAGGCTTGCTAATGTAAACAAAGACGAGATTACGTCCAAAACACGTCAGGCATTGTTTCTGATAGCAACTTTTTGTGGGTCCGCCGCCGATTTGACGTCATATCGGCAGCAAATCTGTATCCGCTCGTTGTACCCAAGCCCCCAGGAAGTGCGCCGGACTCTGTGCCCAACATTCGTTGTGTCCAAACGGCGGTACTGCAACTTCCGTATCAGTCCGTGACGTCACCCGGCCCAAAACAACTTTTTCCCATTGACTAACATGGGGAAAGAGACGTCTGTAAATCAGCGGATAATTTGTTTTAATCTAAATAAACTACCCAGTATGAACTATGTTATAGCCCTTATTATAATCGTTAAGTCCTTAAAGTTGTAAAATGCACTAAAAGCCGAATCTAGATTTATTTTCTGTCTCCATTCATTCTAGTGAGCCGAGAGTGGGAGCTCGGGGGGCGGGGCTTAAGGGGCAACTCAACTGCGCATGCTCTAGCCAGGCATGACGGATAATCGGTGACGTTTCGCTCTCTCAAAAGTTGGGCCATTTTGTCCTCATGCGCCAATGAGCAGCTCTCATAGGAAAGAACGAGACCCCGCCTCCCACGCTGTATCCAGTTCTTATTATACATCCATGGTTGTACCCCCGTTTTTAAAAGATTTGGGTACGGAGGAAAAGAGAAAGGGTTTTATTTTCTGACGCTGCGCGAGTTCCCCGACACACCGGGGACACATATTTATGTATAAAAGACATAAAAAAGTGCATTTTGCATGAACAGTAAGAGTTTGCAATAGAAATGTACATTCAAATAATAAAAGATAATTATATACCCATAAAACATTCCAGAAGTGCAATAAGAAATAAAAACGAGATAGAATCAACATAATTATATAAACAGAATTGTAAATAAAAAGGCACATATTGTACAACTTATAACATGACAATAAATAGTATTAATAAGATATTACTGCTGAATTGGACAGTTTCTATATTTGTTTCCCAACCGCACTTTATCATGTAGGATGTCTTAAAGGTCACCTATCATGCTATTTTTAGGCAATAGCATAGGTCTCAGATATATAAAAATATATAAAAAACATGTCTATGAAGTGTTCTGCTCAAAATACCAAACAGATCACCCATTCTAGCCATGCCTCATATCCCTCTATTTCACTTCCTGTTTCAAAAGTGCTGATTTGGGGTATAAAGCTTTAATTTTTTTTAAATTGATTAAAATAAAAAAGGAGGGGGCTGAGCTCATGCGGGACCCGGCAGCTACTGTCTACACTAAATACTGCCGTGATGAAACGCCATATCATGGATTATCAAGGATTATTTCTGAAACAGTATGGAGCTCAAAGGCTTTCTCTCTTGCCGGTTATACCACAAGGTGAGTTCCTTTTTATTTCCTGCTTCTTCACACACATGCTCTCCAGTACAGGTTAGCTCTGAGTGTTAGCGATGCTAATGTAAACACCGACCATATTACGTCCAAAACAGTCGGGCATTGTTTCTGATAGCAACGTTTCTGATAGGGCCGTGGGTCCACATTTCAGATATTACGTCATATCGGACGCAAATCTGAATCAGCTCCATTGTTCCCCCGTTTTTAGAGATTTGGGTACGGAGGAAAAGAGAGAGGGTTTTATTTTCTGACGCTGCGTGAGTTCTCTGACACACCGGGGACACATGTTTATGTAGAAAAGACATCAAAAAGTGCATTTTGCATGATAGGTCCCCTTTAATATACACATAATGCATATTGTATATAAACCTAAACACCCTGAATATACTGTATAGCAGTGGCTGGAGAACGGCCATGCAGCGTCCTCTCTAATCCTCACTCTCAAAAACTTCAGCGCCCTCGTTCTTCCTGCATGCACCAACCCTCTCTCTCTCTGGGCAACAACAACTCATTTCCACTAAACAATACAGCGCCTGTGTGTCTGCTTTGTGCGAATGTGTTTGTATGAAAAGGAAAAGAGGGGAGGGGACTCAGAGAGAATCATGACAATAACAACACTCACCATCAGCTGTTAACCTGCTACAACTCTTTAACACACCTCCTGAACCTTACAGGTATATTGTGTCATTTCTTCCGCATTCAAAAATACTGTTATTTTATATTTATGTGGCTGCATTTGTGCCATTTATTGTCAGTGTTGTCTGCCAAGAGACGGCACAAATTGACTTTCCATCCAGTGTTAAACCACATCATATACATCATACCTTTAAATCTCTGTGACACGGATAATAACCCAAAGTATAACTCATAATTAATCTCTTGTGAATCATAGTGGTATGAGTGTGATGAATAACTAATATTTCTTTTTGTATTTCTTGGAAGATGTGGATATGTCTGAATCATTGAACAGCGAGGAAAAGTAACCTATATTTTATTTATCAATAATTTGTTTTATATATATATATATATATATATATATATATATAATTTACTTATGATTGTATTGTATTTAAAGGTAGGGTAGGTAAGAATGGAGAAACCAGCTCAAGTGCGCTAGAATTTGAAAGTACGCAGCCGAAAAAAATCTGCCCCTTCTTTCAGACTTCCTTACAGAGCCCCTCCTCCAACACACACGAACGCGCACATGACCAATGAGGGCACGAGATAAGTTTGTGCACAGATGGAAGGCTGACAGGCAGGTAGGCCATCCAGTTATTTTAGCCGGGCCGGCTCAGATGATTGGTCGTGCTTTTTACAGTACTACGGCTTCCACAGATAACATTTATTTATGGATTTATTGTCAAAGCATTTCATGTATTCATTGCTATCGGGATGTTAAGAGCATTCCATGGAATATAACAAAAAGTGTTTCTGAAGTGAATTACCTACCCCACCTTTAAGTTAGGTCATAAGTATAAGTTACTAATGTAGCATATTCATTTTGTGTTGTTTTTGTGTGTCGTTTAATGTGTTGAATTAGTGAAGATATTAGTACAATAAAAAAAGTGTTATTAATGACAGTCATTTATACAAAAGAGTTTATTAACAAGAATAAAACAGTTCTTTAACACTAATCCCCTCTCCTTCAAAACAACAGAATGAATAATTACAACACAGGTTGATTTTGTAACACAAAGTAAATGAATGCCTTACGTTACATCTCCCCCTAGTGGCTCGTCGTTATAATGCAGCTGTTAAAGAAATAAAACAAGAACCGTCGACAAACTTTGAATTTAAGTTGTGTGGAGTGACAAAAAATGGATCACATGATCAAAAACCTGGAGGCGACACTGATCAGATTTTTACGAGTCTTCTAGTGTCCGTTCAGAACATTTGATGTGCTCATGTTTCCCCGGCCAGCTGCGGTGTAATCATAAGATCAATGTGGGTTTTCCAGTTGAACGTTAACAAACAGCTGGGAAACTCAAATATGATTCCTCAGAGGGACTGGAGGTGATACCTGCCTCAGCCTCATGACCCTGACTGACCTGAAGCGGTGACAGCTGTCAATCAGCACATTTCTGTATTCAGCTATGAGTTTAATCTGTGATGATGAGCTCGTCACTGCCCCAGTCCTCATAACTCCCATCAGGAAGGTACCTGCGGATGATGATGGGGATCTTCCTGGCTCTGTGGGAGGGGGATAAACAAAAAACATCAGTAATAATAATAATAATAATAATAATAATAATAATCTTTATTTGTTTGCACCTTTCATACAATAAGTGCAGTACAAGGTGCTTCACATAGACATTCACAGAAAATGTCTATCACACAGAATACAGTTACCACTAAAAGACATACAAACAAACTACAAATATCATAGAGTAGACATATAAAAAATACATTTAGATTAAAGGTACAACGATGAAATTGTGCATTAAAAGGAGGACAGTGCAAATTCAACACACAATCAGATGACATGTTCAAATGCATCGCAATGCAGGGTTTCCCACACATAGACTTTATAGCAACGTCCGCCTAGGCCTGTCACGATAATTAATTTTGTTGGACGATACATTTTCCCGGAAATTATTGCGATAAACGATAATATTGTCGGGACCATTGTAAGACCATTTTTCGACCACTGACATAATGATACTATATAATAATAATTCAAGTATATCCTTTCAAACAGAACTTTTTATTGAACATTGTTGTTGCTACCTTTCTAAAACAAATGCGACACACCGGCTCATTCAAGTCCGTAGGTTCGCCTCGTTGATTTGGCTTAAATCCAAAATATTCCCACACCGGAGATGTGGAATTAGGTTTTGCAACCAATTCCATTTAACTTCAAATTCCCCTCGAGTAAGTCACACGTTGTCTCCTGCTCGTCTCTATATTATTCATTTGGCTGCTACACTGCTGCACGCAGAGTGTCCTGACTTGGCTGTGTGTGAGCCCCGCCCCTCACAGCACGCCGGGCTACATTTCTTTATCCTTAAACATCCTTATGTAAACGGCAATTTATCGAGCTCAGAAAAGTTATAGAGTCCATTTTTATTTATCGTACGATAAGTCAATTTATTGATTATCGCCACAGGCCTATGTCCGCCAAAGTATATTTCGCGACCCATTTAGGTTTAATCTTTTTGTAAGCTCTTCCACTTCAATTACTGATAACCTGCACATTATTTATTTGTTGTCATATTCTTGTTGTACTTGTTTTATACATATATTATTATATTTCTCTTACATTTCATTTCATTATTTTAAAACTGCTGCCTTTTCACAACTTAATTCCTCTTACTTTGTTTATGTATTTAGTATTATACACCAAAGCAAATCCCCTGTGTGTGTAAACTACCTGATTCTGATGAATAAAGATGCCGTCATGTTAAACTCCTATAAAGCATTAAGGATAAATCAAACTAAACACTTACTTGAGTTCTTTCATAGCGATCTGCAACGGGTCGGTTTCTCCCTCCAGCTCCACCATGACTGGAGCGCACATCCTGTTGGAGAGTCAGCAGGAAGACAGGGTCAGTAAATGATGTTTACATTAAAGGTCTCCTATTATACTGTTTTTCATCAATATATTATAGGTCTCAGATATATACAGAACATGTCTCTGATTGGCTGAAACACCAAACAGATCATTGCAGCATTACCCATAATCCCCTCTGTTTCAGCCCTGTTTCCAAAGTGCTGATTCTCTGTCTGTTACTTTAGATGAAAATAAGGAGCCCCTCCCCACGCCCCTCTGAGAGATATTTGGTTACAAAGAACTCAAAGGTGCTCTAGGAGGAGATTCAGGTGATAAGGGAGGGGGGGGGGGGGGGGTTACCTTGGTTGCTGATTGGCTAATGGTGACACAAGCCAACACATCGTTATGACATCATCAAGTGGCCAAAATCTGATCAGCTCATTTTCAGACAGGTTTTTATATAAATGGATCAGGACAAAAAGAGAGAGAATCTTTGTTCCTGAAACTTTCAGAGTCTCTTTACACAGAGGGGACACATGTTGATGAAGAAGAGACATGAAAAAGAGGGGACACATGTTGATGTAGAAGAGACATGAAGAAGAGGGGACACATGTTGATGTAGAAGAGACATGAAGAAGAGGGGACACATGTTGATGTAGAAGAGACATGAAGAAGAGGGGACACATGTTGATGTAGAAGAGACATGAAGAAGAGGGGACACATGTTGATGTAGAAGAGACATGAAGAAGAGGGGACACATGTTGATGTAGAAGAGACATGAAGAAGAGGGGACACATGTTGATGTAGAAGAGACATGAAGAAGAGGGGACACATGTTGATGTAGAAGAGACATGAAGAAGAGGGGACACATGTTGATGTAGAAGAGACATGAAGAAGAGGGGACACATGTTGATGTAGAAGAGACATGAAGAAGTGGATTTTGCATAATAGGTGACCTTTAACTTGTGAGACTCAGACGATGCATCTACCTGATTGATATGGACTTAAACTTGAATGCAGTCTCCACAAAACCACTCACGCTATCTGTAGAGCTCGTGTCCCGAGAACTCTGGCTCTCTCATATTTGGTCATGTAAGGAGTTGTGATCCTCTTCAGGTTGGCCTGCGATCCCTCTCCTGCGGGAAGGATCTTCACGTTCTCCCGGTCCTCCTGCACACAGACAACAAACAAATCTCATCATCACAGAGCAGCGGCAGAGACATTGCATGGTAAAAGGTAAATGGCTCGATATTTTAGACAAAGGCTCAAGTCATACTTCAAAAAAGTGTGGCAGTCAGTTATGGGAATTATCAGAAATAGAAGACATTATTTATCCTGTCTTTTTCAATCCGTTTTTGGACAGTTGAACCATTACATGAGTTAAAATAAAATGAACAAAAGTAGTTAGAATAAAGAACACAAAATTAATAATTACATAAACACAACAAAAATAAATAAATATTGAATACAAATATTAATATAAGTTTAAAAATAACTCAAATTATAAACAATTATATTTACACCAATAACATTTTTGAAATAAAACTACTAAATAAAATAAAAATATGTATATAAACGAAGGAGTTGAATTAAAAATGTTCACACTGTTGTAAAATATAACATTACAAAATATGTATTACATGGCTTAGTTGAATACTCGATTCTGATTGGTCAATTCAGAACACGTGACACGTTGTTAATCCAGTACAGACAGACCGCTGACAAGGATTTATTGACTGTTGTTAACCAGTTGAGCCCGGAGCCTGTTTTTCAGGTCTCAGGCTCGAAAATGACATTCCCAGAACAAATGACCATATCTTCACTTCTAAAAGAGTTAAATTAATAATCTTTTTTCTCAAAGCAATCATAAACCTGTGAGTTGGATGTAGAAAAGTCAGAATCAATATAGATTTTTTTTTATTTTAAAGTAAATTCAGATTGAACATAGTAAAACAATGTAAATTCTGATCGCTCAGTGATGATACTTATACGTCTGGAATCTGTGGAATCTCAGCTTGCTAATCGATATCTTGTTTGTGCAGATCCGATAAGTAATAAGGGTATTTTACCTTGAGTTCTGTGCTAATTGCGTTAGCGTTTTTTTCCGCTCAGGGCTAATTCAGAGCTGGCTCCTGAGCTGCCGGTCGGGTGTTCTTTCCCCCATAATGACCGCCTCGCTGCACATTATCCCTTACATAAAAACCTGTATATTACAATATGCTGTATTTTCGAAATCAGACAGCGAACTTACATCTTCCGCGTTTTCCAGGTCATCTAATCCGTCATCATCATCTCCATCATCAAAGTCTCCGTCGTCGAAGCTATAAATATATTATCAAACAGTTATCAAAGAGAAAACACAACCACATTAAGTCATAAAGCCCTTTAGCTCAGTGAGAGTGTATAGTCATTACAATGTATGCACTGTTTTCGTTATAAGGTGTAGTATTCACAGGGGTTAAATTGGGATTTGATATGTGGGGGGTTCTGTGTGGAGGTGCGAGAGGGGGGCGGAGGTCGAGGATCTCATTATTTGACCTTAAGGGATATAGGCTTACACTGTGGCCCTAAAGCAACTGCTCCATTATCTGTATCAAATGCACACATTGATGCCACCAAATGTCACAATAAAAATAGAAAGTACTACAAATGAACTGGAATTCATTTACATCTTAAATTATTAATATATATATATATACACAAAAAAAGGTTTACAAATATCCAACCTTCAAATTACTTTTTTAAATCAACACTGCTCTGCACACTTGCTAAAGAACATTTGTGTGGAAATCTCAATTCATTTGTAGGGCTGCGTGAGTATGGCCAAAAATATGGGAGTAAATCTCACTGTAAACTATTTAATCATCACCAAATTGTTATGTGTGTGTTATTATGACCGATCATAACTTTTCATTTGCCCTGTACGATGGGCGCTGGAAGTGATGAAAGTGGGGGGTGTTGGCTTATCAGGCTCACACAGCTCACAGCTAAAGTGGGCGTGGGAGCTATGGAGGACTGAACATGACTTAAGTATAAATAAATAAATAAATAAATGTGTAAATAAATGTATGAAGAAATACAGGAATAAATAAATAAATACGTAAATAAATAAATAAATACAGGAATAAATAAATGACGAAATAAATACAGAAATAAATAAATGTTGAAATAAATACACAAATAAATAAATAAAAGAATAAATAAATAAATAAATGCATAAATAAATATGGAAATAAATACACCAATGTATAAATAAATAAAACAGAACACACGTTATTATATATATCTTTCATATATTTCTACATTTACTCGACATACATTTATTTATGTATCCGTATGCTAATGAGGTGGGCAGTCCTAACCTCAGTCTGAAGCAGGATTGGTTACAGGAGTGTGTGATCATTTCTGGCAGAGGGCTATACTAACACCTGGCCATGGTTTATCCACAGTTGTAAGGATTATTTATGGGTATTGGTTTAAGAGCCATTGGAGATCATTAGCGGACCATTTATAGAACGGAGAACCAAAAGACTATGTCCAGTTTCGTGTGGAACGATGTATAGAGGACTTGGCTCAGCTCGACATGGATGTGGATGTTAACCCAGCTGTGTTTGAGAGTCTTCAAGAGGTTGCCCGCCAACTTGAAATCCTCTCGGAAACAGAGGTGACCCTTGGGCGTCCATCTTACATGTTGCCCCCAAACGTTATTGAAGCACATCTTCGTTGGGGGCACACCGCTGGGGACATCGCGAACGGGTGTGCGAAAGAACAATTATTAAAGAAGCCATTATTAGCGAGTTGCCGTGGGTGTACACTGTACACAGAATGAACAGATGTGACTTGCCACGAATCTCTTGCTTCTGCCTGGCTCCAACAATTGGCAAATCCTGCTTCAGACTGAGGTTAGGACCGCCCACCTCATTAGCATACGGATACATAAATAAATAAATAAATAAATGTATGTCGCGTAAATGTAGAAATATATGAAAGATATATAATAACGTGTGTTCTGTTTTATTTTCGTCTTTTATTTATTTATTTATTTATACATTGGTGTATTTATTTCCATATTTATTTATGCATTTATTTATTATTTTATTTGTGTATTTATTTCAACATTTATTTATTTGTGTATTTATTTCTGTATTTATTTATTCCTGTATTTATTTATTTATTCCTGTATTTCTTCATACATTTATTTACACATTTATTTATTTATACTTAAGTCATGTTCCGTCCTCCATAGGGAGCGAGTTGGTTATGTTCACATACTTATTTGGTTATTAAAATGTAAACCGATCTTTTTCATATGGGTGTTTAGAGTTGTACCCCCTAGATCAGGTCTCTAGTAATGTGTGCTTAAAGTGCACCAGATTGAAGCATTTTACTTTAAAATGTTCAAACATTTGTTTGGTATTGTTCATACAATACTGAATACATTTGAAGCCTTTTTGATGTATATTACCTATGTCACTACGTTTCTGTTTTTGTAGTGTATTGGTCTTCTGTAGAGATTTTTCATTTATTCTTTATATATTCTATTGTGTATTCCTTGGATACTTTTATCTTTTCTACTGTTGAAGTAAATGTCGGAAGCGTTTAACAACAGCCATTTGGGGGGGGCGCTGCGCTGGCAGCTCTGGGAGGGAAAAAAACATTTTTGACTGTTTGCGCTCATCCTAATTTTCAGCCTTGATGTAACAACATTCATAATTAAGTAAATGTAACACCCTTTTCACCCCGGTTACACTTTTCATTTGCCCTGTACGATGGGCGCTGTAAGTGATGAAAGTGCAGGGGTGTTGGCTTATCAGGCGTCTGCAGCTCACAGCCAAAGTGGGATCGAGCGAGATAAATGCAATTTATGTAAACAAATATTTCCAAGGCATGTCAGTGTATACTATAGGACAGTAAACCAAAAATATCGTTTAAAACTTGAGAGATACAAAGACATGCATAAATAAATGTTAACTAGGTAAAATAAGATATGAATGAACAACAAAAATAAATTAAGTTACATTTATTTGTTATTGGCTATGGTAGGTTAATGGTTATGTTCACATATTTGGACAGCTAAAATCTTGCCTAGGGCAGCAAATTGGTTAGAACCGGCCCTGCAGTGCTGCAGCTCCTGATCGGAGCAGAGACACACGTTCACTAAGCGGAAAAACTATATCCTGTCACAGAGATCTGCTATTTTAAAGTAAAGTCAACACACATATCGACCCTAAATAAAGTCTATATTAAGAACGAGAGATGTTTTAACATATGGCTTAGCCCCGGCCCAATTTAACCCGAGTATTCAGATACTCTAGATATATGTCCTTTCTATTGTGAATGTGTATATACCAGTGGTGAACCGTGTCTATCACAACTGGACCTTCTGTAGACACACACAACCCCTGCCGCCCCCCCCCCCCGGCGTTATAATGTCCGTCTTTTCACTGAATTGTCGTCTTGAAAAGGGTACTCACAACAATTCCGCAACAACTTCATCTTGACCTGTTGCACTTGACATTTCAACTTCATCTTGACCTGTTGCACTTGACATTTCAACTTCATCTTGACCTGTTGCACTTGACATTTCAACTTCATCTTGACCTGTTGCACTTGACATTTCAACTTCATCTTGACCTGTTGCACTTGCCATTTCAACTTCATCTTCACCTGTTGCACTTGCCATTTCAACGTTAAAAACAATAAAACGGCATGAATTGCTACGTCGCATTCATCTAGATCCTCTGTCTCGAGCCAGTGAACTACAGGGCCTTTTATAGTACCCTGGAACCGAGGGAAACTCTGAAAGAATACGCCCATTGGCTACAAATCACTATATGATTGGTTGATGAAACTGTCGGTCCAAACGTACGCTCTCAGTCAGTGTAAGGGCCAGGGTATTCTATCAAGGATATAGAGAGGCGAAGTCCCTCCCCTTCCGGGGGACCTCCAAGGGACCTTATTTCGGGGAAATTATGTATTGAAGTCAATGGGGAGATAAAGATTATCTTTCGATCCCGTTTGAATTGTGCCACGAATTACACATATGATGTTTGTCAATTTAAAAGATCATTTTGCAAGTCAAATTTTGACTCGGTGTGAACCGTTCAATGAACTACATCTCTGGTCTCGCACACGTCACCAACACCAAGATGGCCGTCACGTTGGCACATTTCACCTCTTTCTTTCAGAATGAGGCGAAAAGTATTAAAAGAGGTGAAAATCACTACAACTCTGGGCATGTTGAGAGCTGTACATACACACAAGGGGAGTTAGTCGGTTAAGAGCCAGCATGCGGGACCGGCTTTACAAGGTTTCGGTGAGTAACACGAGTGTAATGTGTAACGTTAATGACATCACTTACGCGACTCTGGGATTTATAGTCTTTCTAGTTGCGTATTTTTCATAGTCTTATATTTCAACAGTTTTAAGACAAACTGTGACTTTTTTTGACATGGAAATGATTTTTTAAGATTGACAAACATCATATGTGTAATTCGTGGCACAATTCAAACGGGATCGAAAGATAATCTTTCTCTCTCCATTGACTTCAATACATAATTTTTCCGAAATAAGGTCCCATGGAGGTCCACCGGAAAGGGAGGGACTTCGCCTCTCTATAGAATACCTTGGTTGGAGGATATTCTACCCAACACAAAACCACTGAAATGCGTAGTGCATGGTCCGAGAAGGACAAACAAATCAACGTAACACTGTAATATTACAGATCAACAACACAGATACGATTCTCATGTATTCATTTTATATACATTTTATTTATATAATTAAATCGATTTTTGGTTTGTTTCATCCGAGTGTTCCAGGGTATTCTCTGAATACCTTGAAGGCCCTGACGGTTCGCCACTGGTATATACTTGCTGCTAATGCTAATTGTATCTTACTGTAGCTTTTAAATATGTGTAACTGATGTAATGCTTGGCAGTTTGGGATAAATAAAGTACCTATCTATTACAGTTGTGCTAAGCTAACTGGCTAAATGTTAGTTAGCTATAACGTTAGCCCACGTTTTCTTGTTTTTTCCGGCTAAATACTGAATATGACATCATTATGTGTGTTGTCACTTACTTGTCTTCGTTGTCCGACATGTTTTATTTGAAGCCTGTAAACGTGAATCCTTTTTATTAATACTTTTCAAAGACACTTCGTTTTGTCAACATGAACCACATGAAGGATGAGATCGTCTAACTTCCGGTGGTTTGGTCCGTTGGGAAACATTCCGTGTGCTCTGGAGGAACCTTTGTTTTTCGTTCCGCTTCGACAGCCGTTTTAATTATCTCCAAGCTAGCATTAGCCTACTTTTTAGTGCGGGTTAAATTGTATTAGTCTGTTTTATAGTTGAGAACATGATTGGGTAGCTTCTTGTCTTACTTTACTACCACGTTTTACTATTTTTTTTGTTAGAAACGGCACATTTTAGTTGATCAAGACTGTTGTTTTTGTAGCATTTTACTAAAAAAGAAACCAACATTTCAGATAAACCTTGTCAGAGGTGGGAAATAACTTCATTTTCAGTACTCAAGTACAGTACTTAAGTTCAATGTTGAGGTACTTGTAGTTTTGAGTATTTACATTTTATACCACATTCATAGGCGTTCATTTAATTGTTCTGAAAAGTATCGTGCACAAAGAAATGTAATAGGCCTATGTGCAATTTGGACATGCGAGTACATTTTTTATAGAAAATGTAAAAAAACAAAAACAAATTATATAATATTATTCTGAAATGGACCAATCGGCAGAATGAGTGCTTTTACTTTTGGTACTTTAAGTATATGTTGATGCTAATACTGAGTAACATTTTGAATGCAGGACTTTTACTTGTAACATACTAGTCTTGCTACACTCTGGTACTTGAAGCCATATTATTATTATTATTATTATTATTTGTAGTTCTGTTCTCCAGTATTGTTCCTTTCCATCGTGCATCTCAAAGCAAAGTGAACTTTTTTCACATAGACACAACATGCACATTTCCCATATACATATTTATTGCATACTATAACAAATGTAATCAAATAAAACATAAATATATTACATACAGGAGATAGGGAAAGTAAATGAACAGCATAGAGAATATGTACACCGATAAAACTGAAACATTAATATTAGAGAATAACAAGTCTATGTTACCGAGCTGCTCTTCAAAGTAAAATAAAAAAGGTTTTTCATGTTGTTATCAGATTCCACTTTTATCCTCTCAGAGTATGAGTTGTTGTCAGCAGTTGTGATAATACTTCAGCTCTTTTTGTCCACAGAGTCTTTGTTGCTCTCTGCTTTGTGATTCAGCATCTTAAACATCTTCGCCGGCTTGAACTTTCCTTTTGACTTCTTTAGGTCCTTCAGTCCTTCTTTCTGGAAATCTGGGGAGAGATATTTGCAGTTAGGTGCAGAAAAAAGTATTTTATAGAGCAAACATGTGTTTCAGAAGATCCAAACACATACTGACAGAATGAAAAAGGAGGGACTTCAAGATATAGGACACATATTCTCACCTTTGTTCTTCCTCATGGCTTCCAAATGCATATCTTCTTCACTTTCCCTATGCAAAACAACAAAGTTGAATGTATGCTTCTCAACATAAAACCTATGAATGTGAAAGCCCAATGTATTTTTGTTGATTAGCATTTTAAGAATGAATAGGGTTACAGGGCAAACATAACAACATGAGAAACAGTTCAAATCTAAAATACATTAAAAACTAAATAACAGTCTGAACAACACTCTCTTACATTTTGGCTACATGGTCTGTTTTGGTTATAATCAAGTGAAGATCAACTATGTATGGCTTGTCAATTGATGTACAATAGTAGAGACTAAGCTGAATACTAGTAGCTTTGAACTGTTCAATCTAACCTATCAATGTACCAAATGTATTGTCTATGTGTCTTCAATACAAATATAAAAAAAAAATGAAATAACAAACCTCAAATCAGAAAAAGATTAAAAAAAGGAAAACTGGGAAAGAAATGTATTTATTAATAATTTTTTCTTCACACCTCTGCCTGTCCTGATCCAAGCTGCCTACAATCTGGTTCCTCTGCTCGATGACGGCGACCAGCTCGTCCATCAGCTGCCCCTCCAGCCCCCGATCCTCCTCACTCCAGTCACTCTCTGAATGAGAAGAGGACAGAGTGTAAGTTTAACAAAATAAAAAGCACCACAAATCACTTCTTTGCACTGCATCGCATTGAACGCTTTCCCCCCTTCTACTCCAGTAGGACTCAGATGAGGGGGTTGAACTTTTCCTTGTACATGTGATGTTTTGGTGTTGTTGTTATGTTGTTGTTTTTTTGTTTTGTTTCTTTCCGTTACCTGTCAAGTGGGAACTTGAGGAAGTTGTTTTTTTTGGTACGTTTTGTGTTTCTCTTATTTTCCTACGATACTGTTATGATTGGCTGTGAATAAGAAAATATGAAGGACAGAACATCTATTTTCTTTTTTTGAAAGGGGCGGGTCATCTAAGATTATTTTCTTCTCCCAGCTCCTTTTCGGGTATTGTGTGATATAGTCAGAGACATGTTTTGCAAATAATTGTTATACATTAAGTTGTGCACACCATGAACGGAACAAATAATGATGAAATTAAATTAAATGAAACACATTCAGGAAACTGTCCGAATCAAGTTTTTTGCAATTCACACACACAAGGAATTTGCTTTGGTGTATGATGGTGCATACATAAACACAATAAATGATTTAAATTGTAATAAAAGGAGCAAATATAGAACTAAGTATTACCAAAGCACTTTTTACAAGCTGGTACAACAGTACACATTATGATTACATATGGGTTATCAATACATGAACCCCTCCAGAGTTTCCCCCAGTGATGCCGATGCTTGTTGAGATAAATAATTATGCTATTATTGTCCTATACGTTATATAAAGAAGGTGACAAAGTGATGAATAAAGTAACACTGACCTGGTTTGTTAAGGAGACATCTGAGCTCGTACTCCACATCTGCCTGCCTCTCCTCCAACTTCTGCTGCTTCGTCCTGGGAAATAAATGTTTAAACAATCAATAAGTGTTGGAGAAGTAATGAAAAGTAATGGCACAACTCATTATGGTTCGTGAACTTACAGATAAAACAGCTCTGTTCCTCTGTGCACCAGAACATGTCTCTCATGGTTCAGAGAGAACCACTCCATTAGCATCTGTTCCTCCTCTTTATCTGTAACAAAACGAATATATTTCTTTAACATATTTAGTATTCACATAACAAGTGTAAGATTCTATCTATAAGCAGTAGTAATTATTAGTCGAACCGTTCTTGTAGTCTCTCAGATTCCTCTCCAGCTCGACCCCTCTTTGTTCCAGATCCTCCAGATGTTTATCCAGCTCACTCATCTCCAGCTGCAGATCTGCTGAGGACGCATTCTGGTCCGTCTGCACCTGTCACGAAACATACATATAGTGTACATTTGAATGTATTTTTTACAGAATATAATACATAAGTGTAGAGTTGATTTTACTAGATACAAATAATCAAATAGCACAACCTAAAACATAATTTATACTAGTTAATGCAACATAAACATTAATGCAGAAGCAATATTAATCCCAAAACACCATATATAAAAAAGGGCCAAGGAACAATTTACTGCAAAATGAATACATTTACCTTTTTTTCTACTACAAGTACATTTTACTGATACGGCTTAGAAATGTGTCACTTGGGTGAAGTTTTGAATGCCGAACTTTTGCATATATTGTTATTACTGTTACTGTTACTGTACCTTCCTCTTGATGAGTGGGAAGCCATGTCCGGGGGCCGGGGCCCTCGCAGACTGCAGGGTCTGAAAGGTTTTAGATTTGGGTATTCCAGGTTTCCGATCAAAGGGATTCTCTTTGCAGGCCACCTAGAAATAGAAAGAACATTTGCTATGGTAGGGCATGTTAAACTTATGTCATGTCTTGAGGAAAATGCTCCCATTAGCTCTCATCATCTCAAGGTTCAAGGCTTTTATTGTCATTTGTACATTCTTAGGTCACAGGCTGCTCCAACAGTGCAACACAATAAAACAGATAATAGTGCAAGTAAATAAAATAAAATTGAATATAATAGAAATTGTGCAGAATAGTCTATATACAAGTAGTTGGAATATTGATATATATAAGTTGCATCTCTTTCCATACCTTACTTGAACTTGACATGACCTGATCAGATTCAGTTTCCTCCGTCAAGTCAAAACTGGAAAGGGAACTTTGAGAGCGGGCAGATGTGATGGCCGGCACAGAGAGACTTCTGGGTAAAATGTGACTCTGTGTTTCCTCTGAAATGGCATTTGTCCCTGCTGCTTCTGCTTCAGTCACATCCAGGGGTGAACCTCCCGTCTTTCCAGTTTCATCCAAATCTGATAAACTGAGTTGACTGGTATCTCCAGCTTGTTCTACAGCCTGAGGTTTAGCACCCTCTTCCTCCTTGGGGTCCTCCTCCCCCTCCTCCTCCCCCTCCTCCTCTCCAAACGGATTGGGAGCGGGCACTTGGGGTTTGTACCATGTTCTCCTCTGGTTAAAGCCAGATTTGGATCGAGGGGTGGGGACCGGAGGAGGAGCGGGGGGCAGCTGGGTCCAGGGCCCCGGGTGGACGATGGTGATCCAGGGATGGTTGGACTGTACTTTAGGGTTTCCTCTGCTCGGGCTGCTGCTACGAGGTGAAAAACAAGACATTACATGGCTTTCAGTGAGGAAGAACTCACTTATTATGGCAAATCACATATTTTATAACAGGGTATATGCAGGAATCCTGAAGTCAAATGTAAGACCTTTTAAGACCTTTTTTAAGACCCTTTCCATACATTTTAAGACCTCATCGCCACTTTGAGTTTTAACCGGTTACATTGGCGACACACTTTACCTCACATTGACTATATACAGTATTGATTGTCCTTCCTCCTTATCTTCCAACCATTTGGACGCAAACTTGCATTTCCCCATAACGATGTTGTTTAACAACCGGCGCAAACGGACCATCGCGCGCTATCAAGCAGTGAGCGTGCGATGTCCTGTTCAGATGACGTCACATCCAACGGGATGCCATAAATAAACTACACAGAATCACACTACACACCTACGCAATGATTACATTCAGGCAAACTGTAGAATACAACCTCTTTGGACAATTTATATACTTATTGAAAACAAGCTACAAAATGTAATACCTTGGAAAATGCCGTTTAATACTTTTTTATAGCCTTCATTTTCGCTAAATTGATTTATCAACTTTGAATACTTTTTAAGACCCCGCGGACACCCTGATATAGATATTTTAACAACATTTAGATTTTATGTTATTTAATTTCCCTTTTTCTTAATTTGTATTCCCTGATTACGGAAGCTCTGAGAAGCAAATTAGATAAATTATTTTGGTTATGTTTGAAAGTCTGGTCTCAAAAGTATTTGCTCCTGTGATTATGAATTAAAAAAAAGTTTAAAAAAAAACAGTTTTTGCCATGATAATCTCGCCTTGAAAAAAGCCTTGAATGTTTGTGCAGACTAGAATAAATTGCTTTATAAAAGAAAGACACGAAAATGAGGTAACATAATTGACTACCAAGCCCGGCATGTGTTCCTTGTGTTTAAAGGTGGGGTAGGTAAGTTTGAGAAACCGGCTCGAGATACACTTTTTGTTATATTCCATGGAATGCTCTTAACATCCCGATAGCAATGAATATCTGAAGTGCTTTGACAAAAAATACATAAAAAAATGTAATCTGTGGAAGCCGTAGTACTGTAAAAAGCACGACCAATCAGTTTAGCCGGCCCGGCTAAAATAACTGGATGGCCTACCTGCCTGTCAGCCTTCCATCTGTGCACAAACTTATCTCGTGCCCTCATTGGTCATGTGCGCGTTCGTGTGTGTTGGAGGAGGGGCTCTGTAAGGAAGAGGCAGATTTTTTCCGGTTGTGTATTTTCAAATTTTAGCGATCTCGAACCGGTTTCTCCAAAATTACCTACCCCACCTTTAAGGTGCCACGTGTAATACAACAAAAAGCTGGAAGAATATATGAATAATTGTAGTCCTCCTTGGACCATGAGGAAGTGGTGCACATCGGCCTCATGTTGCAAAAATAAGTAATTTCAACATCGAAAACAAAATAATCCTTAAAAAATTATTAAAATTAAAAAATGTGTTTGACTTGCCTTTCATTGCATACAATAATGCAACATAAATAGTTCTGATCTCATCAATACTGAATAAATGAAAAGCTGTATGTTTAAGAGGAATACAAGAACACCAATAACTGAATTTCGTTGATGTGATGACAATAAAGATATTCTATTCTATTCTATATAGAAGATTGTGTGAACTCACATGTGAGATGAGTTGGGTGAACACTTGTTAGGTATTGATGAATTTCCTGCAAAGAGAAAACGAGGGGAAAAGGAAAATGTCTTCTTTCATTTCTTTCACTTAGATTATAATTATAATAAAACTCGAGCAGCTTCAGTGAAACAATACCGGCTGCAGCAGAGGCACTTTTAGTCGTCGGTGCAGTTTTGATCCTGGGAGCAGGAACAGGGACCGAGTCCAGCATCCGTCGGGGAGCAGGAACCGGACGGCTGCTTCCTTCCTCTGTGACTCGTATGCAGGGTGTAGAAAGCTCAGAGGAGTGTGTCGCCTCCTGTTGTCTCTCATCTTCTGCCAGAATGGGTGCCGCTCCACCTCCTTCACCAGTCCCGCCTTTAACAATAGGTGGAGGAAGAAGAGGAGGCGCTGGTTTCTTTTCCACGCTCTTTACTCCATCAGCTGAATCTCGGCTGCTTCTCTCTTGCTTTTCCTTCCCCTCCATCTCTGGTGTTTTAAAAACCAGTCTGTCCGCTGACTCTGTTTTTTTGCCGTAATAAGGGACGGAGGTGACGGCCAATCCCCCCAGAGAAACATAACCTTCCTGAAACTTACATTTTGGCAGGATCTCAGGAGGTGTAACTTGCTGATTTAGTTCAACACTCGGACTGTCTGTTATGTGGTGAGAGCAGATCAGAGAGCCATCCTCACTCCTCAGTGTGTACGACCCAGGTAAAAGAGTGCTGTGGCACACTTTGCACCTGGAGAACAGAAGCAAAATGTGTTTCTGTGAGGGGCAAATGAGGAAAATAAATAGTGGTTGATTTTCTAAGTCTATTTTCTCTCCTGTGTTTAAAACTTAAGAACTGGTGAAGCAAAACACATCTTTCCTTATTCCTTAAAAAACATAATTTGTTACTTGTTAGACGCTTTTATCCAAAGCGACTTACATACTCAATACGGTGGGCAATCCCCACAGGAGCAATTTGGGGTGAAGTGTCTCAGGGACACAACGACATGCTGACTGCAGTGGGGTTTGAACCTGTGCTCCCCTGATCCGAACACCAACGCACTAACCCACTGCACCACACTAACCCACTGCACCACACGAACCCACTGCACCACACTAAACCACACTAACCCATACTAACCCACTGCGCCACACTAACCCACTGCGCCACACTAACCCACTGCACCACACTAACCCACTGCACCACACTAACCCACTGCACCACACTAACCCACTGCACCACACAAACCCACTGCACCACACTAACCCATACTAACCCACTGCACCACACTAACCCACTGCACCACACTAACCCACACTAACCCATACTAACCCACTGCACAACACTAACCCATACTAACCCACTGCACCACACTAACCCACTGCACCACACTAACCCACACTAACCCACTGCGCCACACTAACCCACTGCGCCACACTAACCCACACTAACCCACTGCACCACACTAACCCACACTAACCCACTGCACCACACTAACCCACTGCGCCACACTAACCCACTGCACCACACTAACCCACTGCACCACACGAACCCACTGCGCCACACGCCTCCATTGTTGCTTTATTTTGAAAGCAGTTGGGAAAATAAGTATTAAGTGAGGAAGGAAATAAAATGTAGTTTGTTTTAATCGTCAATTCTGCAACAAGGTGCCTTAATAAGACGAAAAACATTCCAGTTTTTTCTAGGTGAGATTTATATTCTCCATGAACCCTAAACACGAGAAACATATATTGTGTTTAAGCAAGAACAATGTTTTAAGACCCATTTAGTGTTGCACTTTAGCCAAAATTAGTATTACAACAACAAACACCTCACAAAACCTTTGAAATCACATGTTTTCATATCACACAGGAGTAATAAAAAAGTAGATAAATTATCCTGAAAATACTTTTGCCAACTTGTTTTTAAACACACAAGAGAAAACCTTTCAGATCAAATTAAGAAACATTTCCACATTCTCCTTTTCTGATTTCCCTCTCAGGGCTCCCGTACTTCCTTTACATGTATCCGCTTATCCACAGAGGGAAAATGTAAACCCATTATTGACCTCCACCGATCCGTCTAAATAGCTCACATGAACTATAATCCAAATGCACTGAAGAAAATCCTTTGACGATTAAAAAACAACAAACCCAGTTCTCTCCTCACGCTGTACGACCTTTCACACATAGATCCCTTCAGCTATAAGCATATGAGTGGGGGGAGTGTCAAATATGTTCACTGTGGTCACAAGAAACACATTTGAAACGCATTGTGACGTGTGAACTGCAGCCTCTTTCGACCACATGTACACACAGTGTGGATAAACCGGATCCAGATATAACAGAAGCCTATGATTTGTTACCTTGTGAACTGTTACCTGAAACAGCTGCGATGGAAGACCTTTCCGTCCATTAAATGTCTCTGTATGAGGTGGACAGAGTTAAAACACAAACTACACACTGTGCACGGCCTCGTGTTGGACAGACGATCTTCTCTACCGGTTTCAAGATCAGTCGGGTTCTGAAAAGAGAAGAGAAATCCAGCGAATAAGGATATGGAAACAGGAAACAGAAGCGATCAGATTGGGAATATAACGTGCGTTCAGATTACCTTCAGGGGCTTCAGACCATCGGGGGTTTTACTCTTTGTGAGGTTGTTCAGGAAAGTGACGTGGGGTGATTTCAGACTGGGAAGACCTGCTGCAAAGTCAAGAGAAAACATACAAATGGAGCACAAACTCAGTTGTTATTATACACAGTACAATACACACGCATGCACAGGACAGGACCTATACACATTAGTTCTGAATACATGTACAAGCAGATGGATTTTTCTGTCATGGAGAGGTGTCAGAGTAATCAGGCGAACAAATGAAACACATCCCATGATTAAAAACACATTTCTTTGGGCTTTAAAGTAGTTGGACACAGTTGGGATAATGTTAGTACACAGCTCATCTAAATATATAAGAAAGGTCTAGTTGTTTTCAGGAAAAAAATGCGATATTTTTCAAGATCATTTTCCAAAGGGGCATGAATTTGTGCATCTACATCACATGTATAATCCTAGGTACTTGTTATTGTTTTTCACTTAAGATAATAAACCTTAGATTTATAATTTCTGCAAGTATGTATGAACAAAAGCAACTGACAAAGAGCTATAAAACAGAAAACAGACATTGTACTCACCATAAGACTTCCTGTTGAAGAAGTGGTAGTACTGGGAGATGTAGGTGATGACGCTCAGAGAGTCGGGCACCTTGTTGGACACCAGGTCCTTCGGGTCCAGTAGCGCAGGGAGGCCCAGCTTCCTCTCCGCAGTCTCAAAGGCCTGAAAGGAAAAAGAAAAACAGTGGATGAAAGATGCTGATTAAAAAAAAGGAAGTTGTATAACAAAACATGCTCTGGACTTTTTTTTTTTAAGTTAGTAATGGTCCAAAAATGTGTTAACTGTTGTCCTTGTGTCAAATTTGGGCCATTTTCAGATGTTTTTATTTCATAAAAAGTGGCTATTTTATGAAATTGCTGAAAAGATTATGATCACTACTTTGAATTATTGCCTTTTTTTTTATCAAAATCAATAGAATCTGTGGTCTTCTTTTTTGTGAAATCATTCAAAATGTTTGCATTTTTTGTGAAAATTAGGTCTATTGACCATAAATTCCATTACAAAAAAAACTGTAAAAGCTACAGAGTTGTATCTGAGATTTGGGTGATGATGTAACCATATGCTTTATAAAGACTCAAACTGGGAGGACAACACGTGCACAGTAGACGGGAATTGGACATAAAGGTTAAAAGATAAATGCTAGCATTGTTGCTTGTGTGCAAACAGAAATGACTCACCAGTTTGTTGTTTTGATAGACATTATCTTTGGAGAGGGAGCTGAAATCTCTGGTGAAGCAAGTAGAGACATTGATTAACTGATGACGAAAACAGTTGCCTATTGGTAAAGCAACATGCAGGAAAAATCACAGATCAAATTAAATGAATCCAGCTCAAACGTTGTACGTAAAAAGGTTAAAAACAAACCAACTTAATCCCATTAAACTGGACAAGAAAAGGTTAAGCAGAGAGACAGGGAGAGATTAAGCACAGGAGAGCAGATTAGACACAGTGGGAGGTCCAGATTAGATTTAACTATGAATCTGGTGAAACCACAGACAAGAAAACACATGACTCTTAGGAAAGGACCCCAAAATCAATGTGTTTACAAGGTTATAAGGAACAAATTGTTCCTTATAACCTTGTAAACACATTGATAATGTACATTGTTCCGAACAATGTACATTATACCTACCTGAGGGTGAGTGCGCACAGCCATCACAGCTCGATGAAGCTACAAACAGGTCTACTTACATCAAGTCAGGTCGGTGTTTGTGGATGATGGCACAGAAAGCAAGTCCATCTCTGAATGAAGTTGACATGTTCCTAATTTCCACATCGGGGTAGTTGGCGCATGTGCAGCGGCACCACTCTCGTAAAGTCTTCGGTGATGCCATTTCTGTGCGATTTGACATGTCGGCTTGCTGAAGAACATGGCACTTTATAAATGAAAGGAGATCAAATCATCCGGACAGGTTTGGCTCTCAGGAGGAAACAGGAAATGAGCACCTAGTACCCATGCAGCAACTTTTTCTGTGCAGAAAACTTGCGGCCACACTTGCGCATCGAGTTGGTGAAGCAACAGGTAGGAAGGAAGATAGTTTCCCCTGTTTCGTTGTCATATAAAAAACATAGATAAAATCAAAGTGTCCGTGCATTAAAGCTACTTCAACCTGCTTTCCAGCCACAACTAACGGTTTCCCTCACGCTCACTATAGCGGTAACACAATGGCATATTTTTTTTTACCACAGACTTGTGCATGTACCGAGTTATCGTCCAATAAAAAGATGTGAAATCATCCAATGACTCACTCAGGTATATTTCCATAAAGGAGATCGCACTTTAAATCAAATCCCGTTACTCTCTGTAGTCCTTCTGGTTGTGCTCCATTTACTCACTGATGTGCACAATAGCTGCCTCTAGAGGGAGACACAGCTTCTCTATAATTAGGAAGGGGAGGTTTCTAATTACAGTCTCTTATTTTGTTGAAAAGTATTGAACCTGTCTAGTCTTGCAAAACATAACACGCAAAACGTTTAATGCGTAGGTATAAAACTAAAATTAGTGTACAAGGTCTAAATAGTTACATTCTTGTTGCCACACAAACCGAATGGCGTGGTTTTATTTTTGAAGGACTTGGTATCCGGTTCTGGTTCCGTTTGTTTGCGTGACGTACATCATAGAAATGTAATTACTAGAATGAGAATTATTATTATTATTACGATTATTATGATTATGATTATTATTATATAATAGACTCTGTATGTATTTATGTTAGTACATTATTTTCGCCTGAAATGCATCATGTATTCATGGGCATTGGCGTTCATTTGGCATGGTGCCCTTACAAAATAATTAGATGAATGAGAGAACAATGCTTTTATTACATTAATATCAGTTATTGTACACCAATAATAGTTATTACTTTCAATAAACATGTGATTATTACATTAGACTGTATATATAAAGGATTATTACAGCAAACTATCATTACCTGTATGAATCATGTCCATGTGTTCTATCTATGCACTCTCGTTCTGTGTCTCGTCTGCCTCTACGTGCCCCTTGCTGATCTCGCGAGACCAACGCACCACATAAATCTCGCAGTGATGGCTGCGCCGCCCGACACGGAGAGTTTGGAGTCTCGTATCAGTGAGTCATTTTAAACTAATTCTACGGAGCATGTGTTGTCTGCAAACTCGGACACTCGCACATTATTACCCGTGAGTTGTTTCGGATGACATGACAGCTCACCCGAGTCCCGGCAGTTGGGACTCGGACCCTTCCGTCACATCCAGGATGCTAAAGCTAAGCTAGTTGTCAACACACAACACAGCCAGGCGTAGCTTTAGCTTCTCGGCTCGGTAGCTCACCTGAGGTTAGGTAATGGGAGACACTACCACAGGGCTCCCATTGTTGAGTCCCAGACATTGAATTATGATTAAGTAAAAGCTATGGCCTTGTGAGAAAGTTCTAGATGTGACAGTGGCAGTGAGCTAGCAGCTGTTAGCACCTTCCCTGTGTATTTCTCTGCTCGGTGGCAGGCTGGGTGATGTGGCAGTGACTTGATACATTTTAAATCATGCAGTCACTAGCAAAGCATGGAGGCCTTCTCAGCATTTTATTAGGGACTTGGCTAAAGTTTTTTGTGTATGACATAAAGCTTTAACATTTTGACTCAACGTATGTAAATATAATTCAAGATTCAAAGAGCTTATTGTCATATGCACAGTAGCTACAGTGTAGTTATTGCAATGACAATCTTAACTCCCAGGCTCCTTCAACAATACAACATAAATATATATAAGAGATAATACAATTAAACAACAAAAATAGTGCAAAAGAACAAAACAGAATATCAATAAAGTTGTGCAAGAGAATGATGCAACTGACCATTGTGCAAGTAATGCAGGAGAAGTTAACTGTATCCATGTAAAATAGACTAAGAGAAGGTAAAAATAGAGTGTAAAATGAAATACTGTACAAAAATAAAGTTGTGCTACTAATGTGAAGAAGATGTTTTCGGAGTGAAAATGGTGAGGCTGTCATTCAATGTTTAATCTACGAGACAGCATTAATTAATTAAAATTCATGCTAACTAATATAATGTGAACAATAAACCAAATAATAGACACCCTCATCAAAGATATAATGTTTTTGTTGTGGTTCTGTTGAACTGCGTAGTATTTAGAGGTGTCACACATATTCTGTTGTTATTGGTACAAAACAAGTGTTTAGAAATAATAACTGAGAGTTTAGTTTAGTTTTAGTTTATTTTTTTTTTTCGAGCGTGTAAAACCAAAGAAAATACAAATGAAACAAAAGGTGATACAGACATGATACAGTACTATACAAATGAATGCAATAACAAAACGAAACATTTAATTAATAATTGAATAATCTGCAGTATCATTGTCTGATATCAATAAACAATAAACAAAGCTTTAGCTAATTACACGTCCGAAAAGGGGTCGGAAGAAGTTTACACTTATTTAATCCGACCCCTTCTCCCTTTTTTATTTTTATTTTTATTTATTTTTACATCTTAATATATGTTAACATACAATACAAACGTATACTTATAATCTTGAATAATTTATATAATCATTCATATAATATATACAGGCGAGTTAGGACAATGGTCTCTATATATTTATATATATATATATACATACACAAATTCATACAAACACAAATTCATAAATAAAATACAAAACAAGAATATAAACAGTTATGGATTTAGAGTTAAACTGTACATTTCATACAGATTGAAAGTCATTTTTATATAACACAATAACAACAACAACTGTAACCAACATGTCGGAGATATATGTCATCTAATAGAATTACCATGTTGATATAATACTGTAAAGTTAAGGGGACATCTGTTTCCTCTCAGGACTGACATGCCATTTTCTTAATTTCCAGACAGAGCCACAAACCCTCTGAACAGAGACACCGACTGGAGCAGCATCCATGCCTTCTGTGACCAGCTCAACAATGACCTGGAGGGGTGAGAGGACATGTTGCTTCATACATTTATTATGGGTTGGATGGAGTCAAGTGTTTTAAAGGTCACCTATTATGCAAAATCCACTTGTTCATGTCTCTTCTACATCACCATGTGTCCCCTCTTCTTCATGTCTCTTCTACATCAACATGTGTCCCCTCTTCTTCATGTCTCTTCTACATCAACATGTGTCCCCTCTTCTTCATGTCTCTTCTACATCAACATGTGTCCCCTCTACTTCATGTCTCTTCTACATCAACATGTGTCCCTTCTGTGTAAAGAGACTCTGAAAGTTTCAGGAACAAAGATTCTCTCTCTTTTTGTCCTGATCCATTTATAAAAAAACCTGTCTGAAAATGAGCTGATCAGATTTTGGCCCCTTTATGATGTCATAACGATGTGTTGGCTTGTGTAACCATTAGCCAATCAGCAACCAAGGTAACCCCCCCACCCCCCTTATCACCTGAATCTCCTCCTAGAGCACCATTGTGTTCTTTTTAACCAAATATCTCTCAGAGGGGCGTGGGGAGGGGCTCCTTATTTTCATCTAAAGTAACAGACAGAGAATCAGCACTTTTGAAACAGGGCTGAAACAGAGGGGATTATGGGATGCTGCAATGGTCTGTTTGGTGTTTGGAGCCAAACACTTCAGAGACATGTTCTGTATATATCTGAGACCTATAATATATTGATGAAAAACAGTATAATATGGGACCTTTAATTGTGTAAACCCCAGCTATGATAACAACATATATTTTCTGCTGCAGAAGTCTTGCCTGGTAAACTACCATCCCACAACATGATTACGTAAAAAAGGGACTGCAGCACACTATTGACAATCGTTTTGTTTTGTGTCTTGTGTTTCAGACCCCAGCTGGCCACCAGACTGCTGGCTCATAAGATCCAGTCTCCTCAGGAGTGGGAGGCCATGCAGGCGCTGCTGGTGAGTCCAATCTGATCCAGGATCTGTTAGTCACAGTTTTGTAATATTTAATAGTTCAACATGATTTTTGTTGCCAGGAACTAAACCTACATTTAGCCATACCTTTTTGTCTAAATATGTATTCAATATATGAGAGTGGCATCACTTTAGAATATGACATTGTTGTTATCAGATTGGATTTAGTTTTAGCATTTTGTATTGTATTCTTCTCTAGGTTCTGGAGAACTGTATGAAGAGCTGTGGGAAAAGGTTTCACAGTGAAGTGGGCAAATTCCGGTTTCTCAATGAACTCATCAAAGTAGTTTCTCCAAAGGTACGATTCTACAAGTGTCTCTTTCATTATTTCTAGGTTTTTCAGACCCCTTTTTTGGTTTGTAAATAACTTCTTTGTTCTCCTCTATTCGCCCCCCCCTCAGTACCTGGGCTCACGGTCACCTGAGCCGGTAAAAAATAAGGTTCTGGAGTTGATCTTCAGCTGGACTCTGGGTTTACCTGATGAGGCCAAGATCACAGACGCTTATCAGATGCTGAAGAAACAAGGTGAGCGGGCGTCAGAAGTCATTATTGATACACAGTGAGAAGGAACTGCAGCTAAAAAGTACATTTTTAAGAGTAGCTTCGAGACAATTCTTCACATAGTATTAATGGCTTAATCTACTTATATCAACAGTGATGATTAACACCTTTTTGTTTGTCATATTCTGTGTTTGTCAGGTATTATTAAACAAGACCCCGAGCTGCCGCCTGACAAACTCCTGACCCTTCCTCCTCCCAGACCCAAGAATGCGATTTTTGAGGACGAGGAGAAGTCAAAAGTAAGGATTTTTCTGTGAAATAATACAGTTATTTTAACGGATGCTTAGTAGCTTGAGAATAATGTGACCTAACCCAGTTTCTTTCCCACGGTACATGCTGTCTTTTTTTAATTATCGTCTCTCTTTTGTGATTTATGAAACCTGTTCACTTATTGTTTTCGGCGTCTTTCATCAGATGCTGTCTCGCCTGTTGAACAGCTCGCACCCCGATGACCTAAAAGCTGCCAACAAACTCATCAAGGAGATGGTCCAAGAGGTACTTCTTTTAAAAATCACACTTCTGTCATACATTATCCGCATGTTCACTTTTTAGTGCTGAAGATAGTAGTCGGTGTGTGTTTTTTAAGAAAAGGAGTGACATACCAGAGAGCTGCACTTGAGAGCAGGAATGAGGAAGTGGGTTGGTTGCTTTCAGGGAGGCTTTGTGTGTCACTGGCAGAGTGGTTCAGCAGGAATTCAGAGAAAAAGCCTTTTATTATTTTAAGTTTGTTACTGCTATTCTTCAAATTAGTTTATTTTGTATTTCTTTTCCGAATCAGAATACTTTATTGATTTTGGGGTAATTGGGTTTTGTGACAGTTGTTTCATTTTAGAATTTATTAACCCTCCGTTATCACTGTGGACGTTTTTGTAGTAGAAAGTTAAAATGTTACAATAGGATTTCAAATGTAATGTCCAACTAAAATAAAATATAATTCAAATATTTATTTAAACCTAATAAGAA